TCCTTGTAAATGTCTTTAAAATATGTATTTTGACATTTTTTAATAAAATGACAATTATTTTTGAAGGGAACCGCCCCCATCAAATTTAAAATTTAATTCATTTAAACCCCCACATTTACCATAAAACATTAGTTCATCCAGTGTTTCTCTTGCTTAATAAATAAATTAATTTCCTTTCACCTATAAAATACTCAAATTAAAAGTGTATTCCTATGTAGGTAAAAATCTATTTAACAACCTGTTAAAATACACCAGAATGCAGGAAATGGCATTTACTTCTTTAAAAAATTTCCTGGGGGAGGACCCCCAGACCCAACGTCAGTGGGTCCCCTCAACATTACAAATACTTACCCCTTGTTTTTCAGTGGCCCCACCATGACCCGAAAACATTTTCTGCAGGCGCCACTGGTTGATGTGCTAATAAAACGGAAACAAACGCCTTTTTGTTCCTAGCTCTGGTTTTTACCTGAGGAGAGCTGGTTCCTCCAATGTCCTCGGTTCTGTGTTGGCCCGTCTGCATCCACACCAGGTCCCCTTGTCTCACACAGTGACCCATCGTAGACAGCCTGTGGGCCACTGCCTCGTTCCACACCCTGACAAACAGACCAGGAATGACCACAGCAAGGATTTATATATTTACAGCTGATTGAAGATGAACAAATTCAAAGAAACAGGCAAAAATTATTCTTTATCCAGAAAAAAAAGTGCATGTTTTGCCAAAAATGCAGTGTGAAGGGTGAGTAGCAGAACAGAAGATAAAAGCTAAAAGAAGCAGAACATTAGCTAAAAGAGCACCAGCTAAGATATTAGCTGGGTAATTCTGAAATATTATATAAACACAAATTTAAAACCCAAAATCAGACGTTGGGTTTGCAGCTGACCTGCTGCAGTAGGCGTGAGGGTAGAACACTCTCATGCTGTGGGGCAGGCTGAGCCACGCTTGGACGCAACCGTCGGCTCCGCCCCCGTATCTGTTCAGAGCCCGGAGCATCAGCCGCTCCCTGGGCTTCGACAGCGGCATCATCGCGAGAGCCTCCTTAGCGTTACCTGTGGCGAAGAGGACGGAGTCTCAGATCCATTCGAAACGGAAACTGARGGTTGCTGCAAAAACACACCGACCAAGAGGAATAAAACGACAGAAACCATCACCTGTTTGGAGGAAGTGTCTCTTGGCGAGGCTCTGAGGATCGTCGCCATCCTCCGGAGAGAAGAACAGACGCACGGCACTGACCTGAACCAACAAAATAAACCCACACAACCCTGTATCAACTGAAACATCAGTGGCAAATCTTAACACCGTATTCTGTTACCATGTCCTCTTTCAGCAGAGCGAGTCCTACTCGATCAGACGGAACGCTCGGTCCACTCCCAAACCTCTGCGGTCCATAATARTTGACGAATCCTCTCCTCTAAAGAGAGAAAAAAAAAACAGCAAAAATAAGAAATGCGTCGTGTTTGAATCGGTACAAGTTTTGATGTTCCGTTTTAAAAAGCACCTTCACGTTCTCCACCGCCTCCCGCACCAGCTCCGCCAGGCGAGCGTGCACGTCGGGCCCCGGGCGGTGCCCGTCGACGGGCCCGTGTGGCCGGAGGTCGCGGACCACCAGGTCAAAGTGGTTCCCCTGCAGCCGCCCCAGCCTCAGGGGCTCCCCGACGGAGCGGATCTGGGACAGACGCATCCCCCTCTTCTCAAACTCTGCCGCCTTCTCTTTCAGCCTGAAAGCAAAACAACGGTCGTCAAAATGTTTACTTCTCAAGCTGGGAAGGTTTMGTCCGCCTGGTTTATAAACAGTCATACCGCTGAGGGGAGACCTTCTTCACCACCATGGACTGGTAGGTGACGGCTCTCTTATCTTTGGTGCCGGCGTAGGTGAAATCTGACGGCAGGACTCCGAGAGCAGCTGCCATGTAGCTGATGGCCTCCAGGGTCTCCAGGTTCTCCTTACACAGCGTGAAGGCTGAGAAACACAAGCAGCTGTGCGTGTTTGGCCACGACTGAGTCGAAATGATCAAACCGGTCGTTTGTTTCAAACCCACCGTACCTGTGTAGATGTCTTCTTCCTTGCGCTCCTCGGCGGTTCTCTTCTTCGGCTTGCCGTGATCCCTCAGCCTGACAGAGATGGCCGTCGTGCCCTGGCTGCTGAAGCTTTTGGTCTCCACCAGCTTCCCRAACCGTCGGTTCAGGAAGTGATGGACCGCCGTCCTGTGCTCCTTGTCGTCGTCGGGTCCAAATGTATAGGACGAGCCTCGCACTTTGGCGTCGATGAACCTAAAGAAGTCCTCGGCTTCGTCCTCTTTGACGAGCCGGGCCAGCTCCCTGTAGTCCGGGTCCTCCCTGACCCTGATCTCGGGCTGAATGGTGACCGTCATGAGGAAGGGGAAGCGGTGTCTCACAGCCCGGTGGACGTTGGCTCGCTGGTGTTTGTCTGAGAAGAAGCCCAAGGAAAGCTCCAGGCCAGCTTGCTTTTTCTCTCTCAGAGTCAACACAAACTGCTCCAGATCTTCACTGACCGACTGGCCTAAAATCACATCTAAATCAAAACTCCCTAAACTAGGCAGAGGGGTATCCGGCCCCCACTCTGATGAACCATCAGCGTCCTGTGGGACTGAATACTCAGCATCCTCCTTCAGCTCGACATGGTTTTCCTCTGAGGCACAGCCTGGCCTCTGCCAGCCTTGTGCTGCTTTCACGTTCTGCCCATTTATATCGATCTCACTCACAACGAAGTCCTCAGTGAAGTTTTTGATGCTYCCGCGAAATCCTTCATGGTTCGAGATGAAGTAAGCAGGCACGCTTCCAGCCTCATCGCCCTGTTTCATGGTCACCTTAAAAATCAGATGCTAGAAAYTGTTATCTAAAAATAAATAAATAAATAAAAAATTTAAAAAATGTAACGTTTACAAACTTGAAATCGACTGCCACTGCGTTCAAAGTACAAATATTACGCTGTAATTACAAAAAATGTATCATATCGAAGAGAATAAATGACTTTTAATCTTTACCGCCGCATCGTCAGGACTAACCTATCGGTGTTCCGGAGGCAGAGAAGAATTTGCTATTCCGACGAACAAAATGCATTTAGTTCTTCTAAAATGTAAACAGGAGCGTATTTAGACTCGAAAGAAGAGAATGCAGCTGTTTGTTTACGCAGCGGACCAGCGTGCATCCTGTAAACGAGACGTTTGTAAACACATCCACACGCTAAAGTGTTCCGGAGCTGCTTCYGCGTCACGTGATCGTCACGTGGTCTTTCTTAAAGAGACAGTCGCATTAAAGTCAGCTTTGGGTGTCGGTGCTTTTTGTTGACACAAACAGTGAAAAAATTAGGTTTTATTTTCTCATGTGCAGTACTTAAAATAAAGTAGAAGTTAGAAACTATAACATACTCTATAATCTGATTTATTTTATTTTTATGTAAATATTTTGAGTGACTATCATAATGGTGGCAAAATCATGTTAAAATATTAAATACAAAAACTTTGTCTACAAATCAGTGTTGTATAAAGTACCTCAAAGTGATACTTGAGTAAAAGTACAAGTATCTTATCATGAAAATACTTTGATAAAAGTTAAAAGTCTTCTCTGAAAATATCACTTGAGTAAAAGTCTTAAAGGATCCAATATTTTTTTAACTTAAGCATCAAAAGCAAATTTCTGACACAAAATCTACTTGAGTATTAAAAGTAAAAGTACTGAGTAAAAGTGAGCAGTTAGATTTTCCAAAATGACATTTATTGGGAGGTGACTTCTCCAAAAAATATTTTTTCTAACGGCGTGCAGCTGTGATGGGTTGTATACAAGCTAATAGGGTGTCAGAATGGTATATCCAGCGGGTAAAATAAGTATTGAACACGTCACCATTTTTCTCAGTAAATATATTACTAGAGG